TGGAGGCATTTTCTTACTCTGAATTGCCTTGTATTAAAAATCATTGCAAATCACTAATTTTTCTATCCCGTGTGTGTAGTTTATAATAATTGTTTTAGGACTTAGTGTTAGCATACTTTGCAAAAATTAAGTATAAATAATGAAACTGATTCTCCTGCTGAGATCAACCCTTTATTTTTTTCATTTTTATTTTAATTTTATTTTTTCACTTTTCTAAACTAATTTGAGTTTGCTACTTTAAAACAGTTATCTATTTAAATGTGGACTGTAAGCAGGTAGAGACAGTCCTATTCTTTAACCCAAAAGGTTGCCTCAGGATGAAGACGCATCCCTGTAGAGACATCCAATACTACAATAACATGTGGTAAGCAAGCAGTCCAAGAAGTCTCTAATGGCTACATTCACAGGCTTTAACTTTGGGGATATTGTTTTGTTATAAGATAAACCCAGAATGCTTTTTGGTGCAAGCACTAGTCTATGCCAAAAAAATAATTATCAAAATGGGCCCTGAAATATAGCCTTCTTCTGCTTCTTCTTTTTTTGGTAGATTTTCTGAGGCCAGGTTTGCTTTACTCTGAAATAAGGAATTTTCAATTTGTCAAGCAACAGTTCCCATCTGGCCAATTCTCTTGCCAAGTCCCAAGCCTGGGCTCATGTGTCTAAAATTTCAGCAGCGACTTGGACCATGTGTCTTTGCATTAAAAAAGAAAAGCAATTATTCTCATGGGTGACCAGATGATTTCCATATCATCTATGGAACATATATGGTCTACTTAGCACCACATCAGCAGTTAATGGATTTAGGGCTGATCTTAGTCACTCTATGTTTTATATTTATGTATATATAAAGAATGTGGATTCTTTTAGTTTTAGGACTTCTAAAATGGAATATTCACAGAGCTGTATGTTAGGTCAAAAGAAGATTTGCTTGAGTCCTTATTCTGCTATTACTGATGGTACGATTTTTAAGGAAGACTCCCCATTTTTCTCTGAGCCTCAGTTTCTCCCCAAACATAATGCCAGTGTGGGTGGTTTCTCCCGTTTCTCCCTTGTGTTGACCTGCTGGGAAGACACGGGTTATGAGACTAGGAAATGAAGTCTGAGGTTCTGATTTTATTTTCTTAGGTCTGGTTTTTCCAATCTGAAACTCAGCAGCCTAACTAGAAGGTGTTCTATGCTGGAACACAACTGAAAGGTGGAGGCTGGCCATCCAGACCTTGGCTATTCCGTTTGGCTGGAGTTTGTTTGCTTAGCACCTTCCATTTCTGTTTACTTAAAACTTGGCACACTGGACAACCTCAAGAGAGACACCTTTTACTTTTTACAAAGGTCCAGTGAGAGGGAAAGGGTCATTCAAAGGTAGCTGAACCTGCAGAATCCTAGCCAGCATCGCAGGGCATGAGGCATAACACTCACCATCACAGACAGCAGTGAGCATTTGTGGTTTCTGTGTCTCTGAAGCAAAGCTGTGGTTGGGAAACGGCAACAATTTCATCTTTTTCAGAGACTGGCCTTTGCTAGGGCACTGCTTTAACCACCAAGGGGTATAGGTGTCTGCTAAGAGGAGTCAGTAGGGCTTTCCTGTTTTTCAGGGGCTTAGAAGATAGTATCTCTTTTTCTTAGCCATTGGTTCTGAAAATGGGTTAGGGTCTGCTGCTCCATGCTGTGGAGTCAGAGTCAGTCATGACCTATATCAACCCTGCATAGGGTTTCCAAGGCTGTAAATCTTTACGGAAGCAGAAAGACTCATTCTCCACGGAGTGGCTGGTGGTTGTGAACTGTTGACCTTTTGGTTAGCAGCCCAGCACGTAACCCACGACACTACCAGGGCTCCTTGGGATAAGGTCTAATCAAGAGTAAATGCACTTTATGTGTTTTATAAAAGCAATCCTAAATATGCACACGCCAAGTCATGAATATGCCTGCCTTCAGTGTAAACTGGCATCTTTACTTTTCCTGGCTTTCTGCTGCCACTGTTCTATGTTTTCACACCATGTTGTTGCTATTGTTGGTGAGTGCCATCGAGCCAATTCTGACTCATAGTGACCCTGCGTGGGGTTTCCAAGGGGCAGTTGGTGAGTTTGAACCACTGACCTTGTGGTTCAAACCGACCTTGCAGTCCAGTACATTATCCCACACCAGGACTCCTTTTCATGCTCTAGCGCCATCATATTTACTATGGAGTCATCCTATGAGGACAGTCTAGTTAACACTAATTAGAAAACAAAGTGTTGGCATCTGATATATACTATTCATAGTCCCTTCATTTGAGGAAGTGGTTCTCAATTGAAGGCAATTTGCCCCCCAGGGGATATCTTTTTGGTGACCACAAATGGGTGGGGGGCTTGCTACTGGCATCTAGTATATATGTGTCAGGGATGCTGTTAAGCATCCTACAATACACAGGGCAGCCTCCCACAACAGAGAATCACCAGGCCTAAGGAGTACCATGGACCACCAAAAGAACAAACCAATCTGTATTGAAAAAAGGACAGCCAGAATGCTCCTATAGAAGCCAGGATGGCCAGACTTTGTCTCTCATACTTTGGATATATTATCAGGAGACACCAGTCCCTGGAGAAGGACATCACACTTGGATAAAGTGGAGGGTCAATGAAAAAGAGGAAGACCCCCAATGAGATGGATTGGCGCAGTGTCAGCAGCAATGGGCTCAAGCGTTACAAGCACTGTGAGGACAGTATAGGATCTTGTAGTGTTTCCCTGTTGTGCATAGGGTCATTATGAGTGGGCGCCTGACAACAACAGACAACAAGGAGCTCTATTGCATAATGGGTTAAGTGCTTGTCTGCTAACCCAAAGGTTGGTGGTTCGAACCCACTGAGCATCTTCATGGGAGAAAGCCCTGGTGATCTGCTTCCCTTCCAGTTACAGCCTAAGAAACCCCACTCTATCACATAGGGTCCTTGTGAGCAGAGATTTGACTCGAAGGTACCCAACAACAACAACAACAAAAGGCAATAGTTTCAAGACTGAGGAAGCTTGATGGAACCTTAGTCTGCTATACCCACAAGGTTCCCCTGTGGCCCACTCCTGAAAGTGGTAGCAAGTTCTAGGGTTGCCCAAAGTTCAGTCATTGCAGAACCACCACTGTAATATTTGCCATGTCCACATACAACTGAATTTTTATTTACTTAGCATGTTTCTTCAAATTAACTCAATTAAAAAAAAAAAACTGATTTAGCCTTGTCCTTACCAATAATATCTGTGAAATTGTAGATTTGAGGTTCTCACTACCTTTTCCAACACACGTTCAAATAAAAATACAGCTATGGACGTGAAAAATGCTTATCCATGTACTACCTAAACGTTTCTCACACACATCATTGTGCATGCCAGATTCTAGAATTACCAGCTTTCGGGTTGGAGTGACTTGAAAAGTTTTTGATCCCTGCCATCCCTCTGTGGCTTGACTTCCTTCAACCATATCCTTGCCAAGTGGTTAGGCAGCCAGTGTTTGGGCTCTGTGGTGATGAGGAACTCATTCATTTATTCAACAAATGGTTATTGGGTGTAGACACCCAGGTCCTCACCATGCCAACCACTAACTATGCTAGATAGATGGGGGGAGGCAGTGTAGAGGCATTAAGACACCATTCCTGGCTTGATGGAGCATACAAGCTAGTGGGAGGAACCATGATCTTATTTCTCCACATATCTGCTATTTATAGTTCCCAGTTACTTTTTCAGCTTTATCACAAAAAGAATGATACATTTAGGGGTAAAAAGAGAATGCCCATAAATTACAGAACTCAACCCAAACTTTCCTTGAATACTTCTCACTTATATGGTGCATATTTCCAGTGGTTTCCATTTAGTGCAATTGAATATGCAAAGGCTTTGGAGTTACGGCACCTTTAGGGTCCTTTCTAAAGATGTACAGAGAACCTGAGGGTGGGTTGGGGGATGCAGTGATGAAGATGAACTGTGAACAGTAAAAATGCAGATTCTCCCAATTGTGGGAAATCTTTGTCCCAGTACCTTTCACCCTTTTGCCATACACTCATTTCCTACTGGACTGCTGCTATCCCTGGATTAATAGCGTAGTGGTTACGAATCAGGCTGTGAACCTTAAGGTCAGCAGTTCGAAACTGCCAGCCACTTTGTGGGAGAAAGATGACACTTTCTGCTCCCGTAAAGATTTACAGCCTTGGAAACCCTGTACAGGGTCGCTATGGGTCAGAACTGACTCCACGGCACACAACAACAACATATCTACTTAGTTATCTTTTTTACATGCTTGTGAAGAATACATTCCTTTTTTTTTTTTTAATGTCAGGTCTGAACCATGTCACAAGCCACCCTAGGATGAGAATCCCCTTCTCTCAATAGTCTCCCCTTCTCTGAAATACTCCCACAAAGGGGCCTGCTTCTAAGAAGTCCTCAGTGAGTAAATCAAAAGCCATTCAAAATTCAAATCCTGTTGAGTAGAACGAATAAAACATGACTTTTCTTTCAGAGTCAAGCAACAATCATAGTGACACTTTCTTTTCCTCCATGAAACAAAATGACTATCTACTATCAGCCAAAGCAACCTCCTCACCTAAGGGAATAACATAGCTGCCTTTCAGCTGAAGATTTATAATGTACCAGGCACTGTGCTAACTGCTTTGTTAAGATAGTAGTTCATTTTTTCCGTTCAGCAACTCTATGAGGCTATTATTCCCATTTTATAGATGAGGAAACTGACAGCTGGAGCAGTTAAACATGGCAAATAATTGTCCAAGTGGGGTTTGAACCAAAACCTGTGCTCTTGGCCCCATAGCTCCACTGAACAGGCCCTTCCCCTCCTCAGAGTCTCGTAGAATGATTGATTTAAAGTGGAATGGTTTGTTCTTGTTTTATAGAATGTCCCAGAATTAATAAAGCTGAGGAATAGTCTATTGTGCCACTACTGCTTGGGTCAACGAGTGCTTGAAGGGCAGGAAATGCCAACTGTACACAGGGCCTTTGAGTCAGAGGAGGGAGACCGAGCTCTGCACCTGAAGCTGCATGTTTGTCTGGGTGAGTTCTTCTGCTTTCTTTTCCAGTGACATCACCCAGACCTTCCTCTTCTGTCTGCAGCGGGTGGCAGCTGCCCGGTTCCGTTCCAGAAACTTCCGTCGCCTCTCATCCGGATCTTCGTCCACCACCCTCCGCCGGCGCCCACCTGTGGGCTGGGGCGGCTGTATTGTCTGGGTGGGCTGCATCTGTGGTGTGGCTGGTGATACCTGCTGGGACCCGATGGGGAGGGAGGTTGGGATAGGGAAGAAAGATGTTGGGTAAGAGAAGAAACCCAAGCCAGTGTTAAAACACAAAACCCAGTCAACTGCTTTAGTAAGCATGTCAAACATGTTTCCTAAGAATGAAGTAGAAAATGAAATCACTTTTATGGGCAGGGGGGAGTGTCATTGAACTATATTTTCATATAAGGTGCTAAGAGTTGGAATCGACTCGCAGACAATGGGTTTTGAAAAATTATATTCTGTGCCATTCTGGCAGGATACAAGAATAATTTGTGAACATATGTAGCCAGATAGCACTTGGATTGTTTCTTGATAGGCATTGGACTTACTCATGGCAGAGGAAACATTTGTCTTTTCTCTTACAGATGTAAAAAATGTTTCCTTGATAGTGCATTTAAGCACTTTAAAGCAGTCCATGTACTGTACAGGGGGGATCCAGAGAGGTCAGGGTTATTGCCACAATATGAATGAGTGATCCATCACTGGAGTGCACTCCTCCTGGGCAGGGTGGTGGGCTTTCTTTCATTCCAATGGGGGTAAACCATGTTTCCCGAACACTCATCTGGGGCTTCTTTGTCAATGCTGGGGCTCCTATTAAAGCAACCAGTGAAGTCTGGGAAGCAGCTGGGAACCTATTTTCAGTATGTCCCACTTCTTACTGCAGAGGGACTACCTAGACCTGTGAACTCAGAGAACAGCAGCTTCTCAGTGTTGACTCAACCAGGGAGTTACGGGAGGCCTTCTGGAGCCCAGAGGCGATTGGAAACAAGGCCCTGGAAGCTATGCAACCCATACCCAAAATGGCACCAAGGCACGCTACACACTTTATGTATGAGAGAGTGAGGGATGGCTGTGCATCCTCATATACTTCCATTATAAGGAAATCCTAGGCACGGCAAAACACATTATTAGAAATGTTTGCCATGCTTACAGATTCCTTGTTAGGGCGGCATGGGCCTCTGCGACATCTAAAGTTTGGGAGCCTCCCACACATATTGCTTTATTTCTCTCCACAAATCAGACACACAGCACCTTGTGAAATTTCTACGACTGATTCTTTATATGTCTGGACACCTAAGGCTTTCCTAATGCACTTTACTTCTCCTTATTTATTCTCAATAAAGGGGGTCTTTTTTTTTTTTTTTTGTCTCTTTTCCCATTTCTCAGTCACTCAGGTTATATAGCTGCAATACCTATAAAGTTGTTTTACAAGTCATAGTTAACCTGCAGAAATAACAGGCAAAAAGTTTTAAAACTGCAGCCCAACAACCTTCCCTACCACATTCCAGGGCTCTGATTGAAATCAATCAGAATGACTGTAATTGTACTAACAGAGGCTACATCAGGTGACTGGTGATGATATATTTGAATCCTAAACTCCATCAAACCTTCTGTGACGGACTGTAAAAGAATTACATCAGGATTGAGGTTGAACTGCATCGCAGTGATATTATTGAAAGCAAAGACATTTTCTAAAATGGTGTTATTGGCAATTCCCACCCTCCTGGTCACAGGGGAAGAACAAAATAAATTAGGCCTTACTCATCAGAGTGGCTGGTGAAGACGTAATCCTTGTTATTGGCAAAGATTAAGAACTTGTCATTTCAGATGCTAACCTCTGAGCTAATGACTCCAAAGCAAAGCATTAAGAGGGAATGGACAAGCTATTTTGACTTTTTTTTTTTGCCTTTACCATTTCTTTTTGTGAAATAGTGAACTCTTTTTGCCAGTTATAAGCAAGACTCTCAAGTAGGCACACTGGTTTTTAATCTCTTTCCGCTCTGTATCCTCCCATTCTAACATCTCCAACCTTTATCCTTGGACACTTTTTTTTGTCCACTTATTTCCAAAGGGATAAGCAATTTGGAGATTTCAGATTCAGTTCAGGTTCAGGGTAGAATGCATGGATTAGTTAAGGAAGAAGAAGAAGAAAAAGATCCTGTTAGCCAGGAACTCACATAAGGACTTTGAAATCTCATCCTTACATGTAAGGGGATCATAAATAGCAGGAGAAATTGCCAATGCTACCCTCAAGACCCAAATTTGTAGCCCAGTCAGCATTGTTACTGATCACTTTAATTTTTAAAATGGAATTCTGTTGACAGAGATGCACTGAAAGTTTTGATCAAAATACTGAATTGTGATTTCAAAAAGACATTTATTCTAAGTAACCATAGGGTCCCAGAGTTAGAAGGTCCTGAGGAAACTTCTATGCCTACTGTTCTAATAATAATGCAATTAAAAAATGACAAGATCTCAGTAACCAGACAATTTAAGGGTGGTATTTTAGAATACTGTCTAAACGAATTTGCTGAAATTTTAATAACTTTTGTTCAAATTAACTCAATTAAAAAAAATGATTTAGTCTTGTTCTTGCCCATAATACCTGTGAAATTGTAGATTTGATGTTCTCATTATCTTCTCCAACATACATTTCTTATTAATATAAGGATAAAAAAGGAATTGTCTGTGTAGCTAATTATAATAGCGATGAACTAATTGCATATACAATTGGCCACTTACTGCCTTGAACAAGAGGGCAATTAGTTAATTGGTAATTAGCTAACGAATGGCTTCTATATTTAAAGAACTGTTAAACTTGTCTATGAAATAACCTATCCCCAAAGAAACCAAAGATTTAAGTTCTTGGCTTCCTAAAAATTAAATATACATTTAGATCTATTGGCCTATCTATCTTTTCCCTTCTAAATGTGCATCTCAGTATGGCATTTGATTAAAAATGTGAATAAAAATGGGTTCTGGGTGGTATTTTATTTCTAAACCACTTACTACATTTCTATCATATTGTATCAGTTTGGAAATAATACCAATGTATTAAAAACAGAGCAGAGGGCTTTATAGAGGCTCTACTATTTAATATGAGTCTACGCAAAGCTATTCTGTCACTACCTATATTTTTCAGATGGGGAAACTGAGGCTTAGCAGGGTTAATTAACTGTCCACGGTCACAGAGGAAGTGATGTGGTAAAGGAATGAAGGTCCTCTCACTGCATACTCACTACACTTTCCAACTCTTACTCATCCACACACTTGCAAGGATCTTTGAAAAAGTAAGTTCATTTCAAATCATTAAAATGTTTGTGAACGGTCCGGTTTGGGATGGCTTTGCAGGTTTGAACATGGGTGTTCGGGGAAGGTCGTCAAAATCTGCCCGGCTGTGAAGTCTCATCTCCAGGGGCAGAGGAGAGAGGAGATGGTGAATAAGTGTTATTTGGTGGCTCCAGGATTCCGAATCCATTTCATCCTGGCTGAATGGAACTGTGCAGCATGGGAAGGATGAAGGGGACTATAAAGGTCATCCTGCTTGAGGATCCAAAGTGTCTGGGGCTAGCTCTGCTTCCTGCCATGTCCTTCATCTACTTACTTACTAAAACCCACTTGGGTATATGGGTTGGGTGACATAACGTCTGCCTGGTCCCCCAACTCTCTTTCAGTTTAGTCTAAATGACGGCTTTCTTTCTGGCCACTCCTGCTGACTCTCCACCACTGGGAGTTGGCCTTTTTCTAGAACCGATCCTCTACAGAGCTTGGCTGTCTCTGCTGCCTCCAACGCATTTCACATTGGGTGGGATGAGTCACCTCTCCACACCATTTACACAGCACCTTTGCCCCCACATCTCTTATAGGCCTCTTTGTCTGCCTAGAACTGTTGCTACGCTTTAGCTTTTTAACACTTACTATTCCACAAAAGATGGTCCATTGGATTGAATTTCTGTTTTACAGGTGACCAAATTGAATCTCTCTGATGTTCTAAAGCACAACAGCTAGAATCAAACTTAGAATTAACTGATTTTTCTCATTCTTTTTTTTTCTTCTTGTCTTTCTCTTAAGCTTAACTTCTTTCTGATCCTCTCTTTGATATTCCTCTTTTAGGGCTAACTTGGTAACTCAATGTAAAAATAGATTTTGGAGAACTTGAAGTTCACATTCGCCCCTAGAGATGGATCCTGAATGTAGTGCATTAGTTAAAGAAATTATGAGCTTGTGGGACAGCATAGGTAATAATTACCTCCTAGGAAATTAACAGAGCTCCCCGGAGTACCAGATCGAACAGTGGGCTGGTCAAACAAGGAGGCTGCGAATGAACCTAGCTTTATAGCCTGTACTGTTAGTCAGAAGGGGTGAAATGTCCTTAAAAGAGCCTACCTGTGCTTGGTTGCCGGTGTGCAGGGGTGGGTGTGGCGAGTTCTGGTGATGCGCTGGGTGTGCGTGAAGGTGGGAGTGGTGATGGGGGTGGTTTTGCTGGTGATGGGGCTGAGGATGAGGATGATGCGCTGGGTGTTGGTGCTGATGCGGGTAGGGGTGATGGGGTGGCAGTGTCTGGTGCTGATGCGGGTGCGAGTGCATGTGATGGTGTGGCGTCTGGTCCTGCCGGGAACCCATCATTTCCATCATGTGTCCCATGGCGTTCATGTTCCCATTGGACATGGCAGCAGGGTGGTGAGTCAACGCGGCCTTCAACCTCTGAAACAGAACACAACAAGAGGGAACCACTGAGGTCAGTCATGGACATATGAGCGGTTTCCAATCAAAATAACTCGTATTTCTAATTCTACAATAGTATATGGTATGATTGCTACCATTTTTATGTAGGGACGAGTGCTCTTGAATTCACCTCATATTTCCTTACATATAGTGCAGGGCAGGAGGTTAATTATCAGCCAGAAACATTAATTAGGCTGCACAGCTAATGAGCAGCACATGATATCAAAAAGTAGCCATTCTACTAAGGTTTTCCCTACCATGCAGTTTTGCATCATAGCATACTAAAATTGAGTGCAAGTAAAAACCAAATTGTTGTTGTTGTTAAGTACCATCAAGTCAGTTCCAACTCACAGCGACTCTGTACGGAGTTTCCAAGAAGAGGCTGGTGAGTTTGAACCTCCGACCTTGTGGTTCAAACCCACCTTACAGTCAGTCCAGTGCTTTATCACACAGCGCCACACTGGAACCATTTAATGTGCTGACACCTTTGAACAAAAGGCTATACCAGCTCCTCATCTGATATAGCATTATGTTTTGTAAGGGTCACAAGGATAAAAGATCTTGTCTCTCACTCAGTGCTTAGGGGAAACGGAGCTTCTGTTAAGCAGATTGGAAAAAATTGGTTGAACAACATGCTAAGCATAATGAATGTTGCAAATTGTCCATGTGAAGATTGTTGAAATGGCAAATGTTATGTTACATGCACATATGCCACAAAAATAAAGTTTATTTCTTTAAATTTAATTTAATTAAAATAAAGATTTTGCTTCTCAAAAGAGTTCTAAGACACAAAGAAGACACAACCTCAAATTGTAGGATGCTGGAAGAATAGTAATATTACTTGAGAGCTTCAGATTAGAATTTTTGTTGTTGTCAATTGCCGCTGTGTTGGTTCTGACTCATAGCGACCTTGTGTAAGGTTTCTGGGGAGTGGCTGGTAGGTAGGTTTGAAACCACAGACCTTGTGGTTAGCAGTCCGGTGCTGATCCTACAGTGCCACACCAGACTTCTAAATTAGAATTGTTGTTGTTAAGTGCCGTGGAGTCAGTTCCGACTCAGAGAAACCCAGAATAGGGTTTCCAAAGAGCTATTGGCGAGTTTGAACTGCTGACCTTGTGGTTCAATCCAACCTTGTGGTCCTGCTCTTATCCTACAGGGCCACACCAGGACTCCAAATTATAATTGTTGTTGTTGTTGTTAAGTGCTGTCGAGTTTGTTCTGACTCATAGCAACACTGTATAGGGTTTCTGAGGAGTGACTGGTGAATTTGAACCTCAGACCATGGGGTTCAAATGGACCTTGTGGTCCATTGCATTATCCCACAGCACCACACCAGGACTCCCCAAATTAGAATCAGTGACTCACAATATTTGAAGACATTAGTTATTGGTCCTGTGGGTTCATGTGCTGGACTGCAAAGTCAGTTTGAACTGCAAGGTCAGTGGTTCGAGCTCACCAGCCACTCCTTGGAAACCCTATACAGGGTGGCTATGGGTTGGAACCTACTCGATGGCACTTAACAGCAGCAACAGCAAAGCCATAGTTACCAGTTACTGGTTACCTGCTTATCTGATATTCTCACACAATTGCTTTCTTCTGACATTGCGAGGAAAGTGAAGAAAGTCGAAAAGTATGGAATATTGCATCCCTTCCCCTTCTTTAGTAATGGGCAGGCCATCTACACCAATTCCTACACCAGAAAATTTACCAGGAACACGCATACAAACAAATGAACAAATACAGTAAAGTTGGCAAAAGCTGGAATCGGTGTATAGCAGAAACATGTCACAGGTGGAAAACTCAAACTTTTCCACTAACAGGAGGGATAGAAAAGTGCCAAGACTGCACCCCATCAAAGGTGGGCAAGATATACAGGTAAACCAGGTAAACAAACCCAGATAAATCAAGTTCCAGCTCTCAGAAGGGTCACAGTTACTCCACTTTAACTCTAGATTATGGCAAGATTTTCTGTTAAGAAACAGGTAGTGAATATTTTAATTGTTGCATGCTGTATGGTCGCTGTCAAAACTACTCAACCCTATCGTTGTAGTAAAAAAGCAGCTGTATATAATGTACACGCAAATAGGCAAGCTGAGTTCGAATAAAACTTTATTTAAAAACCCCAACCCCTGTCCGTTACTGTAAACCAGATTCCCTAGTCATTGGTGTGTTACAAGTAGATCACCAGGCCTTTCCTCTGAGATACCTCTAAGTAAACTCAAACCTTCAGCCTTTTGGTTGGCAGCCAAGTTAACCATTTGCACCAACATTTGGACTCCACAACTTAATTTGTTGTTGTTGTTGTTGTTAAGTGCCGTTGAGTCGATTCTGATCCATAGCGACCCCTGTATAGGGTTTCCAAAGAGCAGCTGGTGAGCTTGAACCACCGACCTTGCAGTTCAAATGACTTTGCAGTCTGACACATTAGCCCACAGGACTCCATGGATAATGTGCTAGACTGCAAGGTCGGTTTGAAACGCAATGTCAGTGGTTCAAACTCACCAGCAGCTCCTTGGAAACCCTATACAGCTCAACTTAATTTAGGGACGTGAAATTTGAACTTCATATAGTTTTTTACGTGTCATTAAATATTATTCTGCTTTTTCTTTTTTCTTTTTCAGTCAGCCATTAAAAAAATGCAAAAACCAAATCAAACCAAACCTTAGCTCCTGGTGGTGGTGGTTATGTACGTGGAGTTGATTCAGATTCATAGCGACCCTGATACAGGGTTTCCAAGACTGTAAATCTTTACGGGAGCGGAAAGCCTCATCTTTCTCAAGTAGAGAAGCTGGTAGATTTGAATTGCTGACTTTGCAGATATAGCAGCCCAACTTGTAACCCACTCCACTACCAAAGCAGACAGTGAGCCAGATTTGGTCTCCAGGCTGTAGTCTGCTGACCCTGATCTAAAGAAGTAATTTGACAATTAGCTTAATCCCAGTTTCTTCAAAGCTGCATCGCCTCCTACATAGACAATGATCATTGTGTCCTGAGGGTTAACAGTGTGCTGAGTACTATGACATTCAGTTATGCCAGGGAAATGTGTGATACAGCAGAGAGGATAGTTTAATTGGCAGGCTCACATTAGCTTCATGAAGTATTTACCAAGAGACTCCAAGCTCTCTCTTGATTTGTGTTCTATCTGATCAGTGAGAGTGTGGAAGGAGCCAGGGAAAGAGGGGCTGCATTTAAATCATAATCAAAGTGATTAGGCTTTAGCCCTGTGCAATATTAATGATTCTCAATCGGTTAAAATAAAATATTGATAAATATTGACTCAATTAATCAGAACCTTTAGTTAAACACAAAGAGCCTCTACCTGTTTTTTAAAAAAAGTTTCGAGGGGGTGGGGAGAGGGACGACAGAGTGTTTGCCAAATGAGATAATCATGTCAGACACTGTCTACATCCTGAACCAGCAGCCACTTCACACACGTGCCTCTTCTGTCATGGGCAGCAGCTCCCACTCAGCATTTGCTGTTGTCGCTAAGTGCTGTTGAACAAATTCTGGCTCAGAGCGACTCTGTATAGGATTTCTGAGAGCAGCTGGTGGGTTTGAAGCACCGGCCATGGAGTTAGCAGACCAACGCTGATCTCACAATGCCACATCAGTGCTTACTCAGCAACTAGTGACCTCCATAATGATTGTTGTTGTTAAGTGCTGACCAGTTGGTCCCGACCCATAGTGACCCTGTATAGGGTTTCCAAGGAGCAGCTGGCAAGCCTGAACCACCGACCTTGTGGTTTGGGTTGACCTTGTGGTCATGTGCTTATACTTGCACCACACCAAGACTCCCGGAGAAAAGCTTCCCGCATCATTGGGAAAACGTTGTTGTTAACTGCGGTTGAGCCGGTTCTGACCTATATTGGCCCTATATAGGGGTTTTCAAGGAACAGCTGGTGAGCTTGAACCACCGACCTTACAGTTCAAATTGACTTTGCAGTGTAGCGCATTAACTACTGTGCCACACCAGGATGGGTATTGTACTTACTACTGAACAGAGAAGTGAGCAGATACGCCTCACCTCGCTTTTAGGAATGACTTCATTATTTTTATAGAACTGTTCATTATGAAAAATTTAAGCAGTGCTTAAAAGCACCTAGAAGACAGCAACGCCTCAGCCAAATGCATTGTTTACACTTGGTGGGAGGACAGCATTCCAGACAGCTCTGCCGATGCAGATGCGAGATGGAAGGATGCACACAGGCATTTTCTGGCAAATAGACCTGCCATTTAAGAAAATTTTCTTTGCAAATCACAGAAACAAAAGAAGTGAAAATTGTATGGATCTCTGGATTTTAGATGTGTTTCTTTACCCCAAGAAACGTTGTTTTACAATATCTCCAAAGCTAAGGGGTGCGGGGAGCTAAAAAAAAAAAAAGATTAAGGTTGGAATCATTATGATTCTCTTAATCAGCATATTAAACAATATTGCTGGACTTCCCAAACTAATCTTTGAATTTCATTAGTATGAAAGTAATATAACTGCATGATAAAAAAAAAACTCAACTATTAAAAGAATTGCTTGTTGTTATGTTGTTTTGCTAAAGTGCCATTGAGTTGACCCCAACTCATAGCGACCCTTTATAGGGTTTCCAAGCACCAGCTGGTAGGTTTGAACTACCAACCTTGTAGTTTGCAGTCCACTGCTGATTCTACAGAGACTATGAGGTAAAAGTAAAAGTCACCTGTTTATCATTTTCCGTCTCAGTCCCAGTACCATTTTTCAGTTCCATAACCACCAAAGGAGCTCTGGTAGCGTAGTGGTTACGAATCGGGCTGCTAATCTCATGATCACCAGTTTGAAACTACCAACTGTTCCAAGGGAGAAAGATGAGGCTTTCTGCTCCCATGATTTACAGCCTCTGAAACCCTGTACAGGGTGCTTTGAATCGGAACCGACTCCACGGCACATAACAACAACAACAACAACAACATTAGCACCCTCAATTCTGTCTGTAGCCAGGAATTATAGACAT